CCCATTCACCAAATCGGCTTGACCTGCTGGGGGAACAATGGGAGGGGTCAAGAGGGTGGCCACCGCCATGTGGCTGAAGCCCTGCAACTCTTATATGCATCGCACACACAATGCACATTAAAAAATGCATCGCTCTGGTTGCACAGGTATAGCCATGTTTAAAAATGGCAGGGCTTCAGCTGCACAGTAGTGGTCAGGATGGGTGATTGCCTGGATGGGAAAGTGAGAGTGGGTGGGGTGGGTGTTGCAGACCTGGACAGAGACAGCTGGGAGGTGTGCGCAGTCTTAAGGGCTGAATGTGCAAGATTGCAGTCTGGCAATTGGGATCTTCCTGCCAAAAGAGAACTTTTGGGGAAGGGGTGGAGGTGTGGTAGGAAGCAAGCTGCCTTGGTCATCTGCAAAAACTCTTTCCTGCTTCAGAACTGAAGATTTGGTCCATTTTTCTCTTTGCACATTCCTGGGATTCTCCTTTGCAAACGTGAAAAGCCACGGGAACTCTTTGGAAGTTTGAGTTGGGAAAAAGTGTTCTCCCTGGGGCTTGCAGCAAAGCTGGGTGGCTTGGCATATCTTAATCTTGTTTTCTTGCATTCCTTTCCCTGAAAGTATTTCTTTCCACCAGGTACATCTTGATTTGTTCTTGTAGTCTAAACGAGATGCAGTGGCTATGAATGCCCAGAGGAGCAGGTCTGTTTCTGGCCTTTTAGCCAGACAGAGGGGTTTCGTGCTAACTCGGCTCTCACTGTATGGTGTATTATTGATTTAAATTAATAAATCAGCAGTGTAGTTAGAATGAGAGGGAATAGCCCTTCCCTGAAATGAATGAAAGGTCAGAGGCATCTAAGCTAAATAAATAAACAATTGATTCCTAACTCTGTAGTTTTAATGAGTAACAAATATGATAGTATAGCATGGACCTTGTTACTTCAGTGTATCACAAAAGATAAAAACTTACCAGTCTGTCTTCTATGATCATTTGTTAACTTGCATGCTACCATTGTCTAAATAACCGATGGTTCTGCGGACAAGTCAGGGTTTGTTTTCTTCTGGGCATTCTTTGGTGATTAACAAATGGAGGTGAAGTTGAGTTTGACTCTTGCTGATACTTGTCCGTGTTTATGTAGTTTTCTCAGTGACCATATCCTTAATTTCTAAATCCTCAGCTGACTTTTTAAGTAAACAACCAGGGTGTCCATGGGGGGGGGGTGTCAAAAAAGTCCAAATGGTGCCTGCAACCATGTGACTCAAGCCCTGCCCCTTTTATGCACACCACAAGTGAAAAGGGGCAGGGCCTCATTAGTGCAGTCATGGTTACCATCTTGACTTTTTTGACCCCTCCTATGGACTCCATGAAATTAGCCTTCCCCAGTCAAGGGTGCTCCTGAGGCATTAATGTTATAATTCCCAGCCATGCTGAGAAATCTGGGAGTTGTAGTCTCAACACATCTGGAATTGGGGAAGTCTATCATAGACTTAAATAACAAAAGAACAAATTGCATGGAGTAACGTAATCTATTGATATGTTCCAGTCTTAATTTCTAAGCGTATTATTTTTATCATATTTCTAGAAAATATAATAAATATCTATTCCAGAATTACTACCCCCTGAAAATGTAATCACTTGTATTTTTAACAAGTTGGCTCTGACTTTGATGATATCTTATCCATGTCAGTGGTAATTAAAAATTGTACTTTTATTATCAAGCGCTCAGATGCATTCTCCCAGTTACCCTTTTTCAATAACTTCATGAACTAAATTATTCCAGTGTTTCCCAGTGAAGATTATGATGGGGAGGGTGGAGAAAGAGTGGGACTTAGACAGTTTCCCAATTTCTCGGGAACTACAATGTTGGAGGCTGCATTCACACAAGTTAAGCTAGGTTAGTTTTTAACTTAGTTAGGGCTTGTCTGTAGCTTAGCTTGTTGTTTGAATCCAACCTGTTCATTTAGCTGATGGTTCAGTATATTGTGCAAGCCAGAAAATGGGTCAGTTCAATGACCAAGTTAACTATGTTACGTGAACACACCAATGACTCACATGTTCTTACTCCAGATGGAAGTTGATTTTGGGGGTTGATGGTGTATAGCCAAAGATTCTGCTTGCTCAAATTTCTGGAAATCATGGACCAGGGATTCTGGAGGATGTCTGCTGGAGAAGATTGTGTTTTCACCATTAACTCTAATTGTGATAGCGAGTGATTAATATGCATGGACATGTTTTGGGGGTTGGGGGTGTGATGGCTGTCCCTTTCCCACCCTTCAACAGGGTACAACAAAAACAGTCACTCCCCCTCCAGAGTGGCTCCCTTTTTTTGCACAGCATCTACAGAATGGTCAAGCTTGTACTGCTAGTTTGAATTCTGGTTGGGAGGAATGGCGTACAATTAAAGATATATGTTTGCAAAAGGGCCAGTCTTTTATGCACGCTGAGCCAGATATTTATGCACACAATCAGGCCCCCAGATCTGAATATTTCAGCTATCGAGATTTTCCTCTTCCTCCTTCTCCATTTCTGCTAACATTGGAGGCCTTTCTGTTTCCATCTTCCTTTCCCATGGGGAAATCATGAGGTGGATTCCTTTGCATATAACATTGTAGCTTCTAGCCTCCATCTCCTACTGCAGGACTCTTCTGCTAGAGTCAGGGCCGGCCTGGGAAATACTTTGCATTCTTGAAAGCCAGCATCAGATTTCTAGAAACTCTGGGATTGTCTTTCCATTCTCGGCTGTGCATCCTCCTGTGTGCCTCTGACCTCAAGACTGGAGTCCGTGCAGCTTAATGTGCAAAGAGCAATACGTGGGGTATCTCAGAGGCGGAAAGGAAAATATCTTGGTGGGGGAGGGAGGGGGGGAAGAGAATATCTGTTTTTCCTGGTGCTTCTTGGAGGGCACCAGGCCAGTCTGAGCATCTGGGTTACCTTCACTGGCCTGGTGCCCTCCATGTGTGTTCAGGCTACAACTCCCAACTGGCATTTGGTCCTATGGAGGAGGCTGACCTGCTGCCTGTTGGCACCGGACGCAGGAATCCCCACAGTCTCCTTGGCTGGATTAGGATGCTAAAGTTGGTTTTGCAGGTCCAGTCCATATACTGCCTTGGAAGATCTGCCTTTGGAGTTTTCTCCAGAACATTTTCTTCTGGCCAGATGTTGTAAACAAAGTATTCTTGTTGGGGAAAATGGTCTCTGGTCTCCTGAGAGGAAAATGTAGCACAAACAGAATGATGCCAAACCGGCAGATCTATAATCTAGAGCAGGGGAAGTGCTGTGGACAGAGCTGTTCTCTGAAATTTGGTGGCAGGCCCCTGGCTAAAGAATTAAGTATAGATTTCTCCATTGAGCAACCCAGCGCAAAGGTGTTTCTCTTGTCCCTAGTAAAACTCTGCTTTTACCATAAATGATAATTGTTAGAATTTGCAAATCTGTTTTGTGATCTGGCAGCAAAACAAGGAAATGGAACACTTGCCAAGCAGTTGAGTGTATTCAGGATTTGCCTGGTGACTGCTAGCAGCTGATGTACCACAAAGCTCCACCTTCATAAAAGGTGGAAGGTCTGATCCAGAGGCATCAGGTCTCCCTCTCCATTCCCTTGTGGCTCCTTTAGAGATGTTTGCACTGACAAGTAAGCTTTCCATGTAGCCTCTTCTGCTGCTGGGGAGGCACAAAGGGAAATCTGTGATTGAGTCATAGCTCTGGCACTTCCTGCCTGGGAAGAGGATGAGAGGGGGAGATCCAGCCCCTCTGATAAAGAAATGGGGACAAGATCAGCTGCCCCCTTGCCCCCAGCGGTGGAACCTTTGTCTGTGGATAGTTAATCTATAGCATATTATGCATGTACTTTGTGCTTTATTTTAGAACCTGAAGGCTGCGTTTGCACAATCAGCCAGCCTTGTGAATGGAGGATGTGAAATTATTCACAAGGAAAATGAACTGTGGTTAGTTATTTTAACAAGGGCTTACTAAACTGACCTATTTTCTGGGTTGGCACAATGCATTCTACCATAAAGAGGCTGAATTCACATGACAAAGATCAGAGCTAAGTCTCTTGGGCAAGCTTAGTATTTTAGGCATCTGGGGTTGCTGGGTCTGTAACTGACTGAGTTAACTCCAAAGGAGAGGAAGGGGTATGTTTTTTTCTAGGACAAAAAACAAAGCTTGACTTGGTGCTTTTGAGGGACGTCCAAGGGTTTTGGGGGGGGAAGGGCACAAACATAGTTTGCTGCTTCAGGGAGATTTTGCCTGCCCAGAGAAGTGGATGAGAAAGAGGAATTGGGAGGAAGGAAGAAGTGACCCTGAACTTTGTTTGGGTAGAGCTTGGATTTATAATTGAAACTGAAAGCAATGAAAAATATAGTCCTGGTTATTCCCATGCAGTGAACTGTCTGCAAGATTGCATACATTTCATAATATTTGGAAAAGGAAAAAGGGGCAATGGGAAAAATGCTAGCAACCTTCTTGCTACTTCCTTGATGTCCTAGTCCATCTCATATGCTTTCTTGAGGGCTGTTGGCGTGGCACAAAGTGTAAGATCTGTAGATCTGGAAGGGGTGCTTAGAGGCATAGACGCTAGGTTTTGCCAGACCCCTGCTGATAAACTCCACGCAGCTTTGGGGCCGTTTTTCTTGGGCCATTGTATGCATTCTAGCTCTATGAGGTTGAGCTCACAAACGTTTCAAGCTCTACGGGGTGTGCTTGGTTGGTTTGGACTTACTTCAGTGTGCAAAGCACAACTGGTTGTAGTTAGTCTAGCTTTGTGGTTTAGCATGGTGTTGAACTAGGCTGCAGTGGCTTGCTCAAGAAACTATGGTTAGAGAATGCTGTATGTCACTCATTCATGGGGTTGGTTGGTTTGTGGATTAGCGTGATGGGCTGAGCCGGTCCTTGTGGTTTGCAAATGGTGGTGTATGGTGTTGTGTGTTGGGCACACCCAACTAACTGGGCTTGTTAATTAATCATGGCATAAAATGAACCCTGGATCAAACCCCCGTTTCCTCCACCTCTCTTGCAGAACGTGTTGGCTAAGGCCCTCTATGACAATGTGGCCGAGTCCCCGGATGAGCTCTCCTTTCGCAAGGGGGACATCATGACAGTGCTGGAACGCAACACGCAAGGCTTGGATGGCTGGTGGCTCTGCTCCTTACATGGCCGGCAAGGCATCGTTCCAGGCAACCGCCTCAAGATCCTGGTGGGGATGTATGACAAGAAGCAGCTCCCTGGGCCTGTCCAAGGGCCCCCACAGCCTTCACTGCCGCAGCCTGCAGGACAGACCCCGCTGGCATTCCCCCAGCAAGGGGGCTACACCCCACTCTCTCCTGCCTCTCAGTACACCCCAATGCATCCCTCTTACCTCCCCCAAGAGGACAATGTCTACTTGGTGCCAGCACCCAACAAGACCCCGGGGGCCCCGGGGTCCTTCCAGTCTCCTGCCAGCAAGCAGATTTCTGCGTACCCCAAACAAAGCCCTTCTCAAGCCCAGGATGTTTACCAGGTGCCAGCCGGGCCAGCCTGCCCATCCCAGGACATTTACCAGGTCCCTCCAGCCCCTGCCAGCCTGGGACAGGACATTTACCAGGTCCCTCCTTCTCTGGATGGACGCGGTTGGGATCCCCCAAAGGCCCAAGGCAAGGTAGGTCGCTGAGATGGGGCATCTGGGCTCCCCTTCTTACTGTTTCCAGAGCAGCCAGTGCAGAAAAACTCAGCCAGGGATGATCCAAGGCTGCTTTACATAAGCTGAGACTCTCCACTGGGGATCATGGGTATTGTGGTCAATCATGTCTAGAGGGCATCTCTCTCTCTCTCTCTCTCTCTCTCTCTCTCTCCCTCCCTCCCCCTCCCTCCCTCCCTCTCTCTCTCGGTTTCTGCTTGCTCGGGGCTGGGCAATTGTTCCACCCCCCGCCTCTGTTCAGGGCCAGAGCTAAATTCTTCTGCACCTCAGGAGATCCCCACCTGCTAAATCTGCATAGTCCGGTGGGTACGTGTGCATGTGAGAAAAGTCGAGATGGCAGCTGCAGCTGGGCGTGTTAACGGCTGGTGCCTTGCAGATAGAGCCCCATGGCCAGGTACTTACAGGGGGGCAATACTTAGAGGGCAGGGGGACCATTGGAGCCCTCCAAGTATTGAGTGTCTCCTCCCTGTACAAGTTGGAAAGTTAGCCTGGAGAAGGGCTTGTACCTTCCTCTATTGGCAAATGCTGCTTTCTAGCCAGATCACTTGATCGGGCTTCAGCCTGTCTCGCTGACCGGAGGGCCCAGAGATGGCAGCTGCAGCAGGACAATGTGTCTGCAGTGACCAGTCAGCAGGCCAAGGGTGAGGGCGGGAGGTCCAGGGGATGGAGAATCCCAGCAGAGTTTACGGCCACCAGTTGAGGCTGTTTTAAAAGGGAGGTGAGCAAACCCTCAGAGACTCCCTAGGCTCTTAGTGGGTACAAGATTTGATGGCTGCTTCCTCTCTCGGACGTTGCAGGCAGGGCCCCATGAACGCCAGCTGCTGCAGGGGCTGGGGGGCAGCTGGATGCCCTTCACTCCGGGGCTATGAGCTTCCAAAGCTGGTTGGCTGCTGGGCAGGGCAGAAACATTGCAAATGGGCCTGTGGCCAGATCCAGCCTCTGGCTCTTCCTCTTTCCACTGTGCCAGACCACGCTGGTATTCCCATTCCACTTGGAGGGCTGGGGAGCGGGGAAGCAGGTGTGGCCTGGGACTGCAGGGCAGCGTGCTGGCGGATGGGCTGTCAGCAGACCCTCCCTTTCTGCTTCAAACAGCTGAAAGAACGGGTGGCTTGTGTCCTTCGGCAGTTGGGATTGCGAGGGAGGGGGGAAGAGGCTGTTCCAAATCTGTGCTCCTTGTGCCCTGCTGTTTTGTGCCAAGCTCCTGTGCCCCGCGTGTTCCTCTTTCTTGCTCCCCCCTCCAGCAGAGCAGCGTGGAACGGGGCCAAGGGTTGCACTTCAAATTTGCATCGGCAGGACTTGCGCCTCGGTGGGGCGTTGCAGGAGGCTCCGAAGAGCCATTTCCGGTCTTATCCTGGGAAAGGAAATGACCTTCCGCTGGGCCTCCATCACAGAGGCACCCTGGTCTCCCTTCCTGGGCTGGGCTGGGCTGGGGTTGGAGGGGACCTTCCTGAAAAGGGGTGGGGAGAGGACGCCCTGCACAGTCTCTCCAGTCATTTTGGTCCAGCCCTGGGCCACTAATATGCTGAGGGACCATCCTCCAAGCTGGTGTTTGTGTGTATCAGGAACAGGCAAAGCTGGGGCATTGGCATGATGGTCTGTGTGCCAGGACATGGCCAAGTTTGCAGGATGTGTCTAAGCAGTTTAATCAGGAAAAAATCTAGTAGTTGCATTCCCACAGTGTGGTGGGTCTTTTCTGTGCCAATGCAACCACAGGAGGTTTTGTGTAACTTTGTCTAGATTGATGTAAGGACCAGGCAGAGCCCTTTGAGTGTGAGCATGTGTGCGTGTGTGGACCAGCCTGAATGCCTGCTTCCTTCCACACCCCCTTCTTCCCATGCCTGCTGACCTTGAAGGAGATTGAGGTGGAGAGACTGTTTAGAAGGAAGATTTGGGAGGGGGTGTCACAACGTTGGCCTGCCAGCCTCCCACCCTCACCTCTCCCTTTCCCGAGATTGACCTTGTGGCTTCGAGAGCAGGAGGCCAAAGAGGCACCAGTGGGTGGCCCTGGGGCAAACTATAGGGAGTACAAGCAGTGACTGCAAACAATGCTGCTGTGTCCCGCAGCAGGCTGCCTTCTGCCCCAGGAGAGCCTGGTATCTTCCAGGTAACCAGGGGATTCCTCTATGCAGTTCTGGTTATTTGGGTGGAGAGGGGGAGTCCCCTGGAAGAAAAGGAGAGGGGAGCAGATGCCGCTACAGGTTGAGAACTTGCTCTTCTGGCACATCACCCGCAATCAAAAGGGTGTTGGTGCTTATAATCTGTAAGCAGAACCGAATAATACAGAAAGCTTTCTGCTGCAGTTAAACATATTTTTCAGTTAATCTGAAATTTAGGTGGTACCTTTCTCTGGAGATTTTTAAGAACAGGGTGGACAACCACTGTGATTTCAATGTTCTTGTTTTTTTCTGCACTTTGCAGAGGATTAGATGAGATGATCCTGGTGGTCCTTCTAAGGCTAGAATGTTCTGGTTCTATGCAACCTTCTGTGGTCTGGCATCCTCTGCAAGAGTTGTACTGCAGTTTCCATCATCCCCATCTCTCATCTGCAGAGAGAGTAGTATCTGAGATCACCAGGTCTTCAGTTGCAAATCTGGATAAAAACATAACTGCTAGGGACTCACCTTTGTTCTCCAAAGGGGCCCCATTTAGAATCCATTCTATATCCATTTCCCAAATACTGTACAGGGAAACATCCTTCTGTCTTGCCAGGTCTCTGTCTTAAATCATCGGCCCTCCACCATCCCACCAGGAAGTCCGGCATCAGTGCAGGGCCAGCAGAGCTTCTCCTGGCTCGGGCGACCAGGAAAAATAGAACTTTGTCCCTCGGCATTTCTTGTTGACCTCACTCTTAATTCCCTTGAGGCTGTTCCCAACTGTTTCCTAGAGATGCTAGCAAGCAAGAAGAGTGGAGGACCCTTACAAGATCTCATCACTCCAGTGTGTGATGGAGTCACAGCTCTCACTACCTTCTAAAATCAAACCAGTGGGTAGCAGCCATGTCCTTGAGTTGCCCAATCTCTGACACCAGCTGATGTTACTTGAAAATTACTGCAAAGTTAAAGTGTATCAACATCTGTATTAAAGATACATTCTCCATCTGCCCACAGAAGTAAAGATTACTTCTTTACTTTTTTTACTTTACTTTCCCAGGGAGATAAAAGCTATTTCATTGTTCAGCCCAGGCTGAAAACAGGATTGAAATGGGCACAGAGAAGCCATTTCCTTAAGGTAGCTGCCAACACCCTTGCCAAGATTTTGCCCCCAAAGCAGCTACGTAGTGACTGGATGATGGTTGTTAAGGTCTTCCAGGTCCAAAAGGGATGGTTAAGGTCTGGCTGTGGATCTGTGTCTTTCAAGGCCACTTGCGCTTCCCCCATCTTCTGAGAAAACATGACCTACCTAGTAGGGCGCCTGGAATGGGGGTCAAAAAAAGAAAAGATGGTGCCCTTATGACCACCATTTTGATTTTTTTTTACCCTCCTGCCAGCAGGGCATGCAGCACCCAAACATTGCTTCCAAATACAGGATCTCACAAAAAGATGCAGCTGATTTACAGTGCTACAAACAGTGCTGGGTTGGTCCTCCTGCATTCACTGCAAAGCACCTTTTGCAGATGGAAAAGCACTTCACAGCCCTGTTGCCACCAAATAAAGCTCTTGCCCTTCCCTCACTCATTGCCAGTAGCAGAGTGGCAAGCATCGAACCCGTAGATGACATCCTTCCATGGGGCCAGTTATAAATAAATCAGCCCAGGAGGGTTCTGTACAGCGTAACTGAAAGTATGCCAGTGGTGGTATCAAGATCCAAGTGATCTTACTATTAGCCAGCATCTGATACTAAGTGTCCAAGGGCCTTTTCGGTTACCAGACTCTGGCTGTTGTTGAAGCTGAATTTGCAGCAGAATCCCTCAGCGTTGTTTTGAGTTGCATAGATAGTGTGTGACTGCAGCTGGACGGCCCACAATTCTCCAGCATAGCTTGCACAGCCTCTGTGCGCTGTCTGGGTTGCAGTGGCTTTTGTGTGTGTGTTGTTTTTCTGCAAACAAACAACAGCTGGGAAGGCTGCTCCTGGCTCCAGAGTCCCTCCTTTCGCCCAGGAGGGAAACAACACTCATTGTGCATCAGCTCTAAGCCCCTCAGTTGCTCCTCTCTGAAAATAGAAGATGATGTCATTCTTGGCTTCCCTGGGGAGGGCAGCTCTTGCTGCAAGGTGCCAGAGTTTGCTCCTCTCCAGGAGTGGCTGGTGGGTGGTCAGTGCCCTCTTCTGGAGAAAGCGTTGGCTGCATCTTGTGCAGGGACTGCAGACCATGTTTAAAGAGGGATTTTTGTATAGATTCCCAGTTCCAGTTCCCACAGCTTGGAGAGGCCATTCTGTAGCATTGGATTGCAAGTTGATGGATCATCTGCTGACTCAGTTGGGCTCAAGAAGAGTGGGTTTGAATCCCTGGTAAAACCAAGGAAGACTAGCCTTCATGAGGCCTTTGATGGAAGGATGAGATTCTGAGGGAAGAGGGAGTGAAAGAATTAAGCTTTGAAAAAAATGAAGCTGAGGACAGTGAAGAAGAAGAAATGGGCAGATGGAAACTGCCCAGAAAAAGATCCTGGCTCTTGTAATAATTGCAGTTTTGCAAGGCCTGGATCCTTGGAGTTCAGTCTTCCTCAACTGGAGAAATTCCAGGTGGGTTGGACCTCACCTCCCATAATCTTCAAATAATTTGAGAGGATGCAAGACTGGGGAGGATTGAACCATAGACCCTTCTCAACTCCAGTAGAAGCTGAGATGTGGCCACTGGCAGTTCTAGTTCAGTTAGAACATTGCTCAAATGCTACTTCCAGGATGAAGCTGAGTGGATCCCAAAATATTGCTCCAGAAAAGTGCGTTTCTGGAATGAGATGGCAGTTGAACAAGTATAGAAAGGTTAAAAAGTCCTTCCTTTGTAGACCATATTATTCATCAGAGCATCCAATTAAACGAACAGCAGGAATGCACACAACATACCAACCATTTTGAGAAAACACATAGGACATTATCACTAGGCAAGCTGAAAATTAAGAAGCTGTGTTGGTGTTGAAGAAAATTAGTGTTATATCAGCGATAATCTTGCAATGAATGTTACAAAGCACAAGTAAGAGTAAATGGTATTCTTGTTTGTTAATCATATTTAAGAAATGATCTTTTGCTTAAGGCAGGAAAACACACAGAACCAATAGAAGGAAACAAAAAACAAGGAAAACATTGACATCCCTTTAAATCATACTGGCAACAGTTAGGAAAGTAGTCTGATTAACCTATCCCTGACTTCAGTTTTTTGGTTTGTAGAAAAATTCTTCATTTGAGCGTCCATCAGATGTGTTGGAATTCCACCTACGTAATGCCCCAGATATGGGCATCCCTGGTGAGGGGAGTGTTGCCACATGCATCATAACGTCACAATGGCTTGTACCAGATGCCTCACCACCCATAAAGCTGGAAAAGACAATCTTGAGTAGATGGACCAATGACCAGAGGCACTGGCTGAGATAACACATTGCTGAGGTCATGATGTGCCTGATGTCCTTGTGGCTTCTACCAGCTTCTATCTATGTGTCCAGCTAATGTTTGAAAAGCATCTGGTTGGGGACGTTTGGTGTAAAGTGCTATGTTTCAATTTGGTGTGTAATAATTAGCTTCTTTCCTTCACATTAGCCTGATGAATGCTATTTTTTGACTGTCCAAGATTCCTTTCTCCTTTTTCCAGGATTCTCCCCATATTGAACAGAGATTGTTGGGCAAGATGGATTAAAGGGGTGTGCACATGTGCGCGATGGTTAGCAGCCACACCAATGATGCACCTCCAAATGGGTGGGATGTTTCCTGCAGGATTGCTAGTCAGAACATCATGGAAGACCATTTGAAGGTCTCTGCACGATGGTGGAAGCTGCTTAGAGATGGAAAGGCCTGGGAAAGGAAATGAGAGGAAGAAGTGTCCCTTGAATTGTTCCATTCTGTTCCCAGGCTATCACATCTTTAAGGCTGCTGCATTACTGCCAATGCGAGACTCCTGGAAGGGTCTGTCATGAAGCTGTGAGATCATGGCAACTAAGAGGAAACATTTACTCTTGGCAGCAGGTTTGGGGAGGGTTGTTATTGTCCGCTTGTACTGTGAATAGTTTAAAACCTATTTCTCCTCGATTGCTGTGTGTTTGTATCCCCCACTGAGTCCAGAGCCAGGGTTGGCAATACAGTGCTGATGGGAACCATGTCACCTCTGGCATCTCCCAATGGCCTCTGTAGGACCCTCACATTGGAGAGGGTGTGTGTGTCAGAATCTTGGAGAGCACCAAAAGTCTTTAATGCCAAAATTTCAGTGGTCTTACTCCAAATTGAAATTCTGGGCACGAACCTCAATGTCTTATGAACTGTCAAAGTTTCACAGTGAACCCACTAAAATCTCAAGAGTTTTAGGGTGAGAACATCCAAATCTTGTGGGATTTCAGGGTGAGAATGACAAAACTTGCAAAGTATTAAGATTAGAACACCAACATCTTGCTAATCTTTCAGCCATTTCAAAAATAATTCTAAAACTAATTTTTATTGGACAATCAAGCAAAATTGTATGATGGTGCCTAGAAAGGTTGCTGAACTTGCAAAAGCAGGTGAGCATGTGAACACCAGCAGGGAGGATGAAGCTCATCACCAAGGCCAGCTTCTTCTCAATGGTGGGCCGCTGCTGGAGTATGGATCTTGGTCTGTATCCAGCTAACCATGTTACTAGTCTAGCATCTAGACAAGATCTTGTGTCAGTGCAGGTGTCCCAAGAGAAAGAGGTCCTGGGACAGGTTCTTGGCAGATTTGGCAATGTTTCTCTCCCAGCCATGTCCACCTGCTTTATGCAGCAGATGAAGCATCCTCTTTCTTCCTTTGCAGGTGGTGATCCCCACACGGGTGGGACAGGTCTATGTCTACGAGTCCCCCAAAGGAGAGCAGCAGGATGAATATGATGTTCCCCGACAGCTCCAGGAGATCTATGATGTGCCCCCAACACGAGGCTTGATGGTGAACCGGAGTGGCCAGGAAGTGGGTGCTGTTGCTTTATCTCTTAGGGTAAAGGGGGCAACAGAGAGCAGATGAGGGGGCATTAGGGACAGACCCCTCTTTTACACTCACTGCCCAAGACTTGCTAGACTGGGTTTAGGACATGTATGGATTCTTTAAAGACCACTTTACTTTCTTGCCTACTTTGGCAATAGCAGCAGTTGTGGTGGAGGTTTTAATGCCTTGTATGCTGCTCCAGGCAGACCCAGGTCTAATTATGTAGGCTCAATGTTTTTGTAAAAATAATAATAATTTGAAAAAAATCGGAAGACAGTTTTACTAGACAGACAGCATGGGTGAGAAGAGGCATTTTTTTCCCCAACACTTATAGAAAAAGAGATATGAAAGACATGTGAAACAAGATAAAAGGGTAAAGTACAAATAGTGAGATACGAATAATTGTACAAGGAATCTTACTGTCCTGGAGATTGCAGTTTGCTACTATATCATGAATTATAAAATGTCTTGCACCAGTTTTTAAAGAAAAAATAACTTAAGAATCACTATTAAGATTCGAGCTAAGGATACCTGGCTAACACAGTAGAAATCACTAACTCAGATTACAAGCTAGAATAGATGAAACCAGTACTAGGAATCGAATTTGCCATGAAGATGAAATAGGGACTCTAGGCAAGTCTTCCCCTTGTCAGAAGCAAATCTTGCTTGCTTTCCCTCAGAGCACCACGGGAGGGTGGCATTGCTAACAAAAAACCACATTTGCCTGCTTCCTGTGGGAGGTGGGATTCTGGAGAGGTGTCGATGGAGCTTAAAAATTAAGGAAGTTGGGTGCAATGGCCCTGTTCCTCATTGGTCTTCCTCTTTATCAAAGCAAGGGATGGTGGGAAGCCAGAAACTGCCAAAACCAGGTGGCTGTTTAAGCCATGAGGCCTGCACCAGTTCAGAATCCTAAGACAAGATGTGTAGACTGAGCGTATTGGAGAAAAACAGGAACAGAGTATGGTTAATTGTTGGAAACCAGCCTCTCAGCTTGTCCTTTTGCCAGGTCTACGACAGCCCTGCGATGGTGGGAAAGAGCTCCAATGGTGGAGCCCAAATCCATGAGATCTACGATGTGCCGCCCAGTGTGGAGAAAAACCTGCAAGTGGTGAGTGGAGACACAGGACCAACAAGGAGTGGCTTGGTGAGCTGGAAGGGGTCTGGAAAATGGGCAGTGGGGTTGACCCAGTATCAGACCGTGGTAGGATTGGTTGGACTGGAAAGGAGGGCTGTTGGCAAGGCTGACATTTTCTGCTGTATCCATGAATGATGTCTTATTTCTGGGCAGGTGGGCAAACCTCTGACCAAACATTTTGGTGCGTCCATCCCACCATTTTGTTTTCCAAGAATTCCTCTGGGGTTAAGGCATGGCTGAGAACCTTTCTGGGTGATGTTTGAAGATGAGGCTGCAGATTGCAGCAGGCCAACTTACCCATGCCTTTTATGGCATTTGATAAACTAGACTCTGCCTGAGTCGCAGCTATCAATCCAAGAAGCTGGTCTTTGGAAAGAGTATCTAGGAGGTATTTCCACTGCATTTCATCTTCTGCCTTGGTACTGTTTCATGAGGACGGGTTGAGATGATCAAAGCAACAAGGGTGACAATACAGAGTTAAAGTAGCGGGCTTGATTATCTTTGCAGGTATATGACATCCCTCCCTCGGTCAGCAAGGATGTCCCAGATGGCCCCATGAGGGAGGAGACCTACGACATACCCCCCGTCTTCTGCAAGGTGAAGCCCTTCGACCCATCGCGTCATCCACTCATCCTAGCCCAGCCTTTGGTGCCCCTGGTGGAGCCTTCCTTGTCTGAAGATGTTTATGATGTCCCACCACCCACCAGTAAAGGAGTATCAGAAGCCCAGGAGATCTACGATGTCCCACCAGGGCTGAGAAAACTGGCCAGCCAGGAGGTGTATGATGTGCCCCGAGAGCTGCCGATCAGTAGTAAGGACGGGGAAGGCGACTACATCTACGATGTCCCCCCGCAGACGGATCGGGGTGACAGCAAGCGGCTTTCCGCCTCCAGCACGGGCAGCACCCGCAGCAACCTTTCCAGTTCTTCTCTGGACACGGTGCCTGTTCGGGAAGCTCCAGACAAGGAGCTGCCCCTCGACCAGGACGTTGCAATGGAGACGCTGGCCCGGCTCCAGAGCAAGGTCAACACGGCTGTCTCGTATCTCATGTCCTTCATCAGTGGCAGCTGGCGCAGCCCTGAGAGGATGGAGGCTCACGCAGGCCACATCCAGGGGGCAGCTGAGAGTGTCAAGGGGGCCCTCAGGGAACTGTTGGAATTTGCCCGTGGAGTGGTGAGCAGCGCTGCCCAGGCCTCCGACCGCTCCCTCTATTCCAAGCTCAGCAAGCAGGTGCAGAAGATGGAGGAGGTGTATCAGGCACTGCTGCGGCACAGCCAGGCTTTGGAGGGTTGTGGCTGGGCTCCCAGTGCCCTCGTGGCCAGCAAGCCAGGGGCGCCAGACGACCTTGAGCACCTGGTCATGTACTCACGGGGGGTGCCCGATGACACCAAGCAGCTGGCCTCCTTCCTGCATGGCAATGCCTCGTTGCTCTTCAAACAGACCAAGGGGTCCCCAGCCCCCTTGGGGGATGGCAACCATCCCCACGGCACGCCCTCTGAGAAGGCAAGCAACATCCAGTCCCGACCCTTGCCCTCTCCGCCCAAATTCCTGGCCCAGGACTCGCCCGATGGGCAATACGAGAACAGCGAGGGTGGCTGGATGGAAGATTACGACTACGTGCACCTCCAGGTGGGCTTGGGATTGGGGCAGGAAGGCTGGGATGGGAGGCCAAGTTCATACACACACACACACACACACACACACACATTCAGTAGTGCACCCACAACAGGGAGATCATGTCTAGTGGGTTCCTGCTGCATGCCAAGCTGGGTGGTTTGTGGCCATTTCTGGCTGACCTTGGCTAATCTCAAAAAGGGTCTGGTTGGTGCTTGGATGGGAGACCACAGAAATGCCAACTCTGTAGAATAGGAAGCCCATTCCAGAAGAAGACCTGACAAACTACATCCATGGTGTTAGCGAGAAAACTGTCTGGAGATGTCCATACGTTCACCAAGAGTTATGCATTAGTTCACAGTTGAACATATTGTAAAAACTTAATGGTGATCTTATGATGTGTTAAGCAGACCATGACATTAAACCATAACGTGATGGATTTTTCTTGCATTTTAGGCAAATATAGGGTTAGGATTTAGCATGTTTGGTGAACTTAATCTTGGTTCCTACTTTGAGGTCGGCCTCCGCTCTTGGAGGACCAAAATGCTTGTTCGTCAATGGGGTTGATGGATTTTATAGGTCTCCTTCCCCACTGCTTTCTGAAAAGTATAGGAAAAAGAGATGAAATAGCAAAACGAAATCAAAAGCCAAGAAATGGCAGGATGTTAACAACGTTAAAAGTTTTGGGAAATAGCTTTTTCAAAAGTTTTCACCTAGGTCAAAAGTTGTCATAGTCCCCGTAGAGAGTGCTGAATTGAGGCCTGGGAAGGTGGAATGGTTATGGAGATTCATTCCACCTCCTCTTGTCCTGGTCCTGTTCAACGGATGACAGACGAAGTCAAATGCCTCTCCCAAGCCAGATATGATGGTCTGCCGGGATTCAGAAAGCTGCCTTGCGCCATAATAATTGGGGATATTTCTCAAGCACCTGGCAGGTTGAGAAAGAGAGACTTTTTTACTGATGTTGTTTGCTTGTTCATTAGATTTATATCCCACCTTTCAGGAACTCAAGGTGATGCCCGTAGTGCTTCTATTTCCCCCCCATGAGATAAGCTCGCCTGAAAAAGTGTGACTGGCCCTAAGTCACCCAGGGAGCTTCTGCGGCTGAGAATCTGGGTTCACCCCACCTTGACACCATTGATTTGATGGCGGACAAAGAAGGCAGGCCTGATCAAAAGAGAAAGCCGCGGCTCCTGGCTTTTGGGGCCGGGAGCAATGTGACAACCTGGGGAAGCAGCTAAAGATCAGCTTCTGAAGGATGGTTATGTGCTTTGTAGGAAGAAACCACTGTAGAGATCCACAGTTAAAGGATCTCTGCTAGCTGTATTGGAGAAGTCCTTTAAGTTGAGAGGACTTCTCCAACACATATTATTGATTATGACTGATTATGTGCCATCAAGTCATTTTCTATTCCTAGCGATGACATAGATAGATTTTCTCCATGATAATCTGCCCCTGTCTCTAACCTGGTCTTTCAGGTTCAGTGGTGGACCCATCGCCACTGTAACTAAGTCCATCTCCCTTGCTGCTGGTCATCCTCTTTTTCCTCCCACTTTTCCTAGCGTCATTGCCTCCTCCAGAGAGCTGCTAGGTCTCATCTAACATGTCTGAGATTACCCAGTATAGACCAACTTCCCCCAATCTTGGCCATCCAGGGATGTGGACTTCAACTCCTCTTAGCAGTAGCTGGGCTGGTTCGAATTTGGGAGATGTAGTCCCAGTACATCTCAAACGCTGCGGGTCATTCCTGGGAAGATGTTTGGAAGTGAGGTGCTTGAATGCTTTCATCCTGCTGAACCACAGGACCCCCTCCTAATGCACTCCCTCAGTAGTGGTTGCATGTGATAAAGCAAGTGCACTGCATGCATGAAGGTTCAGCCTTGAGTAGTGCCACCTAAAAAGCCAGGAAATCCACTGAGATGACCTTGGAGAAATGAGGCAGAGATGATGGTTGCAAAAGGATGCTTTAAGCCTGGGAAGTGGAGGAAGTGTGAGAAAGAAACTCAGACTGACTCCTCCCTGATTTACTAGAGTGTAAGAGGGAGGGAAGGGAAAAAAACAGGCTTTCAAGATTCTCTTCTTAGAGCCTATATCAATACAGCTGAGTTCCAGTCAAACTTGTGGAGTCTGTTTCCTGACCTGGCCTACCTTAAAGAGCTGACAAAAAGGAATGCTTCAGGCTTTCATGGATTGAGAGTCAGATTTGATCCATTTTGGGTTCCTGTCTTCCCAACTTTTCTGTGGCTGGTCAAGAATGGCACTAAGCTCTAATGTGCTTCATCTGTTTGTTTTTGGAATAGCGTGATCTCTGAACTTGGCCCTTACGCAAGCCACATATTCCCACCCCCATCCGCCTCCCAAAAAGTCCCAGAAGATGTAACTGAGAAATCATACTTCTAATTTAAGCATTCAGAGAAATTATTAAACAGAACTGTGCAGTCCTTGGGAGTGTGCAGGATCACCAATGGTCACCCTTGTCTGCAAAAGAGTAAAGCAGCTACATCTTTTCCCAGGATAGTCTGGCTACCTAGACACGGGGTCAAGGGACCATATTAGCATTATTTGATTAATGTGTATTGAAATTAATTACATTCAAATTAAATCACATTTAGTTTTTGATTGGGCCTGGTCCAGATTTTGGATTGCAACACTGTGGCAGGTCATGAGAAACCAAGTGTTGCCTTTGGCCCCCCAAAATGGATTAAGAAGATACTGGCTTAGTCCCGTGCATGGGTACGATCAATGTGAATGTGACAAGGAGAGTGATAGTTCTATCTGAATTCACACTTTCCTGGCAATTGTGTAATGGTATGTGGGAATAACCTTGAGAGACAGGGGGAACCAAATCAGAGAAGATTCTCCTGTTCTCCATGTGGGATGCTAGTTGTCTCCTTGTACAAGGGCCTTCGTTGGCTTGGCTGCAACATTCTCTGATGGCTTCTCTTTGGAACACTGGCTTGCAGCCATGTCCAGAGTCTCCCTTTGTGCTGCTCCTAGTAGGCTTTGGGTTGCTGCCATGAGAACTGTCTGGAGGTCTGTAGATGGGGCCAGGGTGCTTGAGCTGTGGGTCCCTCTGAAGGCACCTTCCACTAACCCTCTTTCATTCTGTCTAAATTAGGGGAAGGAGGAGTTTGAGAAGACCCAGAAAGAGCTGCTCGAACGAGGCAATATTATGCGACAAGGCAAAGGACAGCTGGAGCAACAGCAGGTCTGTACAGAGGATGCTCTATCTCCCCCCACCCAAAATCTTATGCCTGTCTCCTCTTGCTCACCGACCATCTCTAAACAGCAATTGGAAGTTTGGGGATGAGGAAAAAAGGACTCGATATGTATCATTTCTGTCACAATCCTTTCTCTACTAATGTAAGGGTTTGACCTATTGGCTGGGGTGTTTCCAAATCAACAAGTGCAGGGCTGTTGTGTACCTTCTTTTGTGTAAAAAGTCCGCAGACAGCAGGAACCCTCATGTCACATCGTGATTCTTCAGCATTTCCAGCTGGCAGTTGTATTATTATCATGAGTTGTTGCATCGCTTGCCTTTCTGCCAACAGGACTTGCTGAAGTTAGTTAAGATACCACATGCATTACGATCAACGGTTAATTAACTCCTGTATGGACCGATCATTGCAGCTCTTCCAAACTATCAAGGCCAGATCTGGGGGCATCTGGGGAGAAGGGGCTGGCTTTTCTTTAGGCCTTGCAATCAGCCAAGACAGGTTACGTTTTCATCTTTGCCCTCTGCCTGCAGCTGAAGCAGTTTGAGCGACTGGAACAGGAGGTCACCCGTCCAATTGACAATGACCTGTCCAACTGGACACCCCCACAACACTACCCCCACATGCGGGGCGGTGGCACTGCTCTGGGCCCCTCTGACCGGCAGCTGCTGCTCTTCTACCTGGAACAATGTGAGGCCAACCTCACGACGCTGACCAATGCCGTTGACGCCTTCTTCACCGCGGTGAACACTAATCAACCACCCAAGATCTTCGTGGCACATAGCAAGTTTGTCATCCTGAGTGCCCACAAGCTGGTCTTCATTGGGGACACTCTGTCACGCCAGGCTAAGGCCCAAGAGGTCCGCCAGAAGGTCACTCATTACAGCAACCTTCTCTGCGACATGCTCAAGGAGATCGTAGCCAGCACCAAGACAGCTGCTCTCCAGTACCCGTCCCCGGCCGCTGCCAAAGACATGGTGGAGCGGGTTCATGAGCTGGCAAACAGCACTCAGCAGTTCCGCATGGCCTTGGGACAGCTGGCTGCCATGTGAAGTGCCCCTTGGAGAAGTCTTTAGATGAGCCTCCCGTGGTGAAAGGACTGTAAATGTTTCGTCCAACTCACCTGCCCACTGAAGTACTGACCTGGAGAGGGTGGGGGGCATCGACTGGCCAGCTGCTTCCTTCTCCTTTAGCTCCTTGGTGACACAGACTGTGTCAGTCCTGGATCCCTGAGGCCACCCAGTCTTACTGCGGCCAAGAAGGGAAGACATTTTCAGCCCTTGCGGCAATTGCAGAGGGCAAATAATTATTTTTTCCTGTTTGATTCCAAAACTGTTTGGCAAATGAGCGCTATTTAAATCAAATAAAGAAACATAGAATCCAACTGATTAGGGCCTAACGGAGACTCTTCTCCAGTGTGCATGTGTGAATGTGAAAGAGACGTGATTGCTGTGGACCTGTCTGCCCCCACTTTGAATTTGCCCAAGTGACTTAGAGGAGGTGGGAGGAAGTAGAGTGACCTCTTGGGGTTGATGAGTTGATAGTGATGGTTGGCAGCGCATTTTAATGGGCTCAGTGGCTTGGAGAAAAGAAAAGTCAGCAGTGTTGGTGCTTGGAGAGTTCTGCCAAGGTTTCAGAGCTCATTCTCACAGTTTCATCCAGGCTTTCAAATCCTCCCTTGCTTTAAAACCAGCCTGTTTTCCCCAGATCAAAACTTTGTGGTAGGTAAAAGAAAAGGGGTTTTGCTCTGCTGGAGCAAAGGCCAGCCACTTAGCACTCCGCAGAACAGGCTTCTCCAGGAGCAGGGGGGGGGGACCTTGGTGTCTTTGTCCCAAAAGGGAAAATTCAGCTCCATCGCAGGAAAATTGCTCCAGCCATGCGCATTTGTATGGGGCACCGGAAGGCTTTTGCAGAATGTTCCCTTGAGAATGTCATCTGCTCTGTTTACCTCTGCGGGTGCCTGAGAATGACCTGCTGCAGGGCATTAAAGAAATGTGGCTGGGGAGGGAGAGTCCTCCCGAAGTCTTTTGTTGAGGCAAGGCGGGGGGGCTACACTCCTCCGCCTCTTTCATCCTGGGAAACAGTGGTTGACATGGAGAGCTGGAAAGACCCATTTAGGCATTTCACTGCAAAGGACGCTTGGTGCAGGAGTCCAAATTCAGGCTCCTCAGACAGAGAGCTGTCCAGCTTCTGCTTGAACTTCTCCAGTGAAGGAAATCCTCCATCTTTCTGGGTCATTGCTTCTGTTTGTCCTAATGTTCAGCCAGCATTTGCCTTGTTACAACTGAGCCATCTTTTCTCAAGGTTATTCTCAGTTTTGTCAATCTCTTCCCGTAGGTTTTTGGTCCCTGGATCATCTTCATTACCCTTCTTTGTATCTTTCCATTGTCTCCGAATCTTCTTTAAAATTCGGTGTCCAGAAATGAGTCTGTGTATTCAGAGCGGAATCTGACCAGTGCAGGATAGAACACAACTCTTATTTCTCATGATTTGAAACTGTACTGCTGCTGATGCAACCTACAGTGGCCTTTGTCTTTTTAGCAGACCTATCATGCTAGTGATTCCTATTTGTCTTATATTGTTACAATTCACAATATTGGCTGGATTACTCAGTACGTGACTCTAGACTAAAAATAGTATTGGGCTGCCTGTGGGTCACCTTGTTGTGAAAACCAGGTCTTCATGTGAAGCCCCAACCTGGTTTGCTTGGGTATTGTGGGTTATGTGAACATAACAATTCTGTTTGTTAGCCTAACTTTAAGTTTTAAGGAGTTGCGTCAGGGGTGTCTGCAGAATATGATCCAAAAAGTCAAGATGGCAGCCACGACAGTATGATCGAAGCTCTGCCTGTTGTTCACGTGTCTTAGTTTAGGCGATATGGTTAGGCCATTGGTTCCAAGTAGTTAAAAATAAAATCGAATTTACATTCAGGACTATTGTGCTATCAATAATGTGATAGACTCATTTCTCTCTGGGATGCATTTGAATCAAAAAGCTTGTTTGTAGAGACCACTTTGGCTATAAATTACGCAACACACTTAACTGGATTGCTGAATTAATCCATTTTCTGGATTCACACAATACTAGGAACCCAAAATCCATTCGACTCAGAACTGTGCAACGTGCAAGTTTGGGAGCTGCAGATGTCCTTGGGTTAGGACAGATAGATTGGATGAGTGGAACATCATCACAGGAAGTTCTCTCATAGGAGCCCATTGAAATGCTTTGGAAGTATAGCTCTGGTAGTTGCGAAGAGCAGGCAGACAGAAGCAGTTCCTTTTGTGAAGGAGAACACAAATAACACCGTCAGAGTCTTTGGGAAAGCCTAAACTGAAAGTGATTCTTTTCCATAAATGATTTCTCTGGGTTCTCTTTAGCAAGATTTATTTGTGACTAGACAACCCGTGACCCACTGGGTCATCGTTTCAGAGATATTTCCTTACCTAAACAGAGAAACAGAATGACCAAGGGCACAAAGCAGTGGAAGTGTGAGCGAATTGCAACTTGCTGCCGGCTTCCC